GGTGGGGGTGTGGGGGGGGGTGTGTGTGTGAGGTGCCCTGTCGGGCCCGCCGCCGCCCCCCTCAGCCCTCTCGGCGGTATCGCCACCAACTGACCCCAGCGGTACCCGGCGAAGCCTCTAGGAGCCCATATTGGCGGAATACATCCTCTTAATTAACCCGCGGTAAGGCTGGGGCAGCTCCCGGGGACCGGTCCTGTCAGAGGGCCTCGCAGGCCCTGAGGGAAAGGGAAGGGCGCTTCAAGGCTCGGGTGTGGCAAGGCAGGGGTAACACCTAAGTTTGGCAGCGTGTGTTACATGTAATTACCTCTGTCCTTATAAAGGTGATTTAAATTTGAAATCTGTAGGTGCCTTGGGGAAGCTTGGCTCCTCACACTGAGGAAAACTGTGACACCCGAGGCTCACCCCGACTTTGTAGTCCACAGGGTAAGTGCCTGGTTAGGAGCTGTGGGTAAGCGCTTGTTACAGCTAACGGAGACGTGGTCAGTACATTCAGTGGAGTCTGAGGAGCTTTCCAAATGATCAAATTGAACGTGTCTACTTCAGGATGAATTTAATTACTACCTAGGCTCCAACGACTGTGTTGAACTGACTAGGCTGTAATGGTAAATTAGACACCCAACTCTCTCCCAACATGATAGACACACAGTTTAAGGTAAACCACGTTCCCAATTTCACTGAGATATGGTATAATAAGACCGAAATGAATCAGGCACCAAATTTCAATATTTTCAAGTCCACATAGAAACCAGAGTTTACTGAAATAAGTTGTGCAAGGCATTTAAAAGGGGATGATGCTCTGCTCTGCATCACAGATGTGGATGTCAGGAAGAAACAGGACGAGGTTTTGTGCACTCCATAGAACTGAGGGCCTCAAAGTCACGTTTATGTGGCCACAGTAAGAGATAGAAAACAAATGTTGCTCTGGAACTGAAGAATGTGACTTGCCAGGTAGGTAACAATTTTTAAACAGGCAACCAATAATAAAAATTTAGGCAAGTCATAAATATGTTATGTTCCATAAACTTTTCTTAGCTAACACCAAATACAAATACGCCTTTTAATAATGACATTTGAATGCAACTACTGCATAGCACTTGTAAATGTGAAGATCTTGAAGCTTTGTAAACAAAATCTCTTAATACTGCCAAGGAGACATAAAAAACCACTTATGCTTGGGTCCACAAAGACTTAAGCAGAGTTCAGCATATCAGTATGTAATTCTAAAATGTCCAACTACCAGCACTAATTTCAGATTTCTGTGGGTCCCTTGTTCTCTTTGTACAGGGCCTGCAGTCAGACGGGTAGGAATGGGATTCAGAGTCAGCTCACAGAGCAGGAGGTATATCTAGACTAGTCAGAAGGAAGAACGAAAACAGTGGTGCCCTGAAAATCCTGACTCTCTCCCTGGATAAAGTTCTTTCCTCAGCAAAGAATCTAAATTGGATTCACAGCACGATACCCATCACGTACATTGTGTCTTTGGCTACAGACAACTGGCTTACTCTTCGCTGTTAAAGCACATCTGGAAGAAGTGATTTGTTACAGAAATTCTCCTTCCTTTCAAATGCAATGGTTCTGGCTGCTGTATGTTACATATGCAAAACTCTTGTCTTGCCAGTGTGCTGCTGAATGCGCATAATCATGCATAAGTCACTGGCAATCTTCATTTCTAAGAAAAGGGAAGGTAAATAATGAGGTGCAAAGCTTATAATAGTTCCAGTGTGAAACCTCATTGGGAAAAGCTTTAGGGATCTCATGGATTAAGTAATCACCATTTTGGACTTTTCTGACTAACCCCCACTTAAAGTAATTAAGCCTTTTTGTGGATCTGGCTTTCATATACATGAGGATAAAACCTGAAAACTTTTCCATGTTTCCTGTGTGGTAGGTTTAGGATTTATGTTTTAATGCTGAAGGTAAAACTTGCTTTTATTTCTTTTCACAGTCACACAGAATGGAGTGACAGAAGGGTCATTAATTTAGAGGTTTACAGTCCTGATACCAAGAACTACTGTTCTACAAGCTCAGTTTTGAAGATTCCCTTAGATTGATGTCCTACAAGGTAATCATATTAGAGGGATTCTTCTCTGCAGTGTTGAGCACTGGAATTGGATTGAAGTCAGGATCTTTAAACATATTAGAGATTTGCGCATGTATTTTGCTGACTAAGGATGCACTTGGGCAAATGGGCAAATACTTAAGAACTATTTTGAAAGCAGCTCTGTGGACTTGTTATCACTGACAGATACAGCAAAACTGAATGAGTAGCAAGAGTTGGCAAGCTTCTCCCAACAATATACAAAAATACTTGCAGATTTGTCAATACTGCTGGGATACAGGGACCTGGCTCTGTATTTATTTGCCACTATCTTATTTAAGTCTACAAATATATTACTGAGTCTTTGAAACGTTTAATGATGTTCCTTGTTTCAAGAAGGATGTATTAAATCAGTTTTTCTGGGATTAGATCAGATTAGATACACTGTGTGTGTTTTTGAGAAACTGCATATCCCATGCTAATAGTTGTAGTTTCACATACTGATTGAACGAACGGTAGAGGAGATGGAGTTTTTGCTCTCAGATACAGTGCCAAGCAGAGAGGGTTTTTTTACCCCAACACCATCAGTGTCAACTGGTAGCTTGTCATAAAAATTATGCAAATTATTTGCATTATTTAAATATATACAGTGTTGTCCACTTTGGAGTTAACTGAAATCATCAGTCCTCATGCTTGCCTTGGAACATATCCCAGAATAGGAAAGCTAGCACTTATCTACTAATCTACTCAGAACAAGCTTAGAAGGCTTTGACATGGCTCAAATGTCAGCTTAAATATCTCCATTTGTTTATTACATCTAGTTAGTGGGGTCAATTTGATATGTTCAAAGTAAAGTCATTTGAATTTCCTGCTTAGAAGAAAATCCCAAGAGACTGGAATTTATATTTCTAACTGTTTTCTAACATGATTAAGTTGCTTTCTTCTCTGAACTTGTGATGGTTTTGAACCAACTCTTAATTACTAATTAATCTCTTAACAGTCAGATGTTCCCCTGCCATGTAGAATGAAGGATAGTGGCAGAGTAAAATGGTGTGGAAATGTAACACCTCGCTCAGGAATTTTCTGTCTTTACTCAGTGCAGATTAATGATTCTGCAGGTAATGGCAGGTGGTGTTCATCTCTGACATCTGGGGTTTCCATTACATTCATAGTAGCACCTACAGTTATTACAATTACCTGAAATATTAGCAGATACCTGAAAAGAGGTTGATGTTGAACTTAGTGATTTCAGTAACTTCTCCCTACAGTTTCCAACCCTTGTCTTCAGCTACAGAAGACAATAAAGAGGAAAGCTGTGCACCATACGTACCCTATGGAGGAAACTTCTGTGGCAGTGCAGCTTGCTGATAGCAGCTTGCAGGGGAACAGAAGGAAGGGCAGAAGGCAGAGATTCACTGGGCTGAAATTGGACTGATTGGTCCTGTGCCTTTCCAAAATTAAAGAGTTTCACTCCCTCAGAAGTGAATAAAAGCTTTGTACTGCAGCAGACCTGCTGTCCTCTTAAACTGTAGTGGGTTCATTTTATTACACAGATTTTTATTTTTTTACTAGAGCTAGAAGACACAGAACGTTTTCTAGATTAGTTCTTTCCATGTAGAGCTGGTAGGCTTACAGCTAATGGAGCAATGTGAGGAGCCATGGAGTGGCTAAAGGAGGAACTTTTAGGTGTTTCTTAAGCAAGTTCTAAAGAAGTTTGCAAAGGCAGGCAATCTAATGGAAAAAATGGCAAGAGTATTGGGTTTTATCTGGGTTTTTTTTTCAGTTGATTTTGCATCACACTATTATAAAAAATGTAAAGAGTGTTCAAAAGTTTTCCATCTGTTATGGTTCTAACCATTTCAGTGAGATGTTTTGCAAAACTAAACACCATGATAAACCTGAGCTCCCTATCAATGTTTAGTAATACAAATATGTGGGTAGCTATTGCTTCAATAACTCGTAGTTCAAATGGCACTATCTTGTTTTTTCAGCTAGAACCCCAGAATGGGAGGCGATCGCAGTGCAGTGTTTGAGGGACTGGCTGATCTGCTGCTGAGCCAAGTCACCAGCTGGTGGCCACCAGCAGCCACAAGCTCCTGCTCTTTGCATTGCTCACCTCCATCTCCAGCCAGGGCGTTTTCATGCTGAGTCCCTCTCAGCCTTAACCACCTTCCAACAACAGTCTCGTTTTTGTCCCAGCAAGTCACCAGAAATGTCCTGCATCTGCCACCTTCTAGATTCATGTCATGCCCCACTAATGTGGGTGAGAAGAAAACAACGGTGCAGTACGTCTTAGAGATGCATGGAGGAAGCCCAAGAAGAAAAGTGCTTGCCTGGACCTGTTGAGGCAACCTTGCTTTCTTTTTCGCATCGTATCTTTGTGGACTGATCATACACACTGATGGTTTTACACTGAAAGTCTTAATTAGCACTTCCCTTTTAACAGTTGGCCACATGATCCAAAGCACTGACACCCCGTGCACCTGGATGATGGCATCTCTGTGTTCAAGAGCAGCACCAAGCACTTCAGCAGAGCTTTATCTTTAGATGTTTGTAAAACACTCCCTTAAAGTTGTTGTCCTTAAATTCCCTGTCAGAGGGACCAGGTTTTTATTTCAACGAAGGTTGGGATCCTGTGAAAAACAAGAACATATGGTAGCATAACCAGGAGCTATGTCCTAATACAAACATGTTAGGGAAACAAGTTTAAGGTAGGAAAATCGATTCTGATGTTTCTTAATTGTTGATTTTTATCTCAGTTTTTAATTTAATGTGCTGTGTTCATGTTCTGTTTGACTTAGGTGAGGCCTCATTCTTGTGAGAATTAAAAATATAGTGTTTCAGCTGCCCCTGGCTGAGCAGCTGTCACTGGTTTTCAGATCACTCATCTGAAGGGCATTAATTTACTACAAGGTAAATTGTGAAACATCAGTAAGCATCAATAAAATGATGAGATTTAAGCACAGTGCTCAGAAGACCTGATTAAAGAATCCATTAGGAGAGCAAAATATTATGTATAGCATTGCATAATGCAATGTAACTAGCATATCTGTATTCTTTCATGTGTACTAGATCAAGCACTACCCGTCTATTTCAGACTGAATTTATGTCAAAGAGTACCTTTGTGATCTGGAGTATATTCTAAATTATCCAAGATAACTATCTGCAATAGCAAAAAAATTAAGCCTTTAAGATGCAGAAAACGAGTTGCATTGTTCCATACAGGTATGGCTGTGCTGAGATTGCCTATTCTGAAATTAGATTTTAGAAGATATTTATAGAGGTATTCAAAAGATTTTTTTTCTCCCTGATACCTATCCATATTTCTCAGATATCCTCCTCCTCTTGCTTCACATCCGTATTGTAGTCGTATCTGTGTATCTCCACACAGTGCAAAGGTTATTAAACGCCCATATTTACACTCAGAGGCAAATCTGGTTTTAAGGGAATATGTGGTGACCCACATCATGATGTTATCAGGCCTGTAGCATAACACTGCTAAGAGAGAAAAAAAAATGATGAAGCTTTAAGTAGTTCTTACCCCCAGTTGTCATCTTACTTTGATTTATTTAAATATGATCATGAAGGAATAGTCACATCTTTTTTCCCCCCTAACTTTAATTAGCCATACCAGAAGATGTTTGTGTTTATATGATTTTATTGAAATACAATGATGCTTCAGAATAACTTGCAAAAAGTTGAAGGATGTTCACTCCAGAAATCTATTTGCACAATATTTGCAATAAAATATGTATGCTTACAGGAAATAAGCAATCTGGGGGTTTCTTTTTTCTTCTAAAAATGTTAGGACTGGTAAAGTTAGGTACCAAAAATCTATGTCATACAGAAAAGTAAAATTTTGCCCAGATGAGGCCTTTATATTGTGATCAGAAAACTAAACTGGTCTTCATTATGAGAAGGAGGTACTATTGTAAAAAGAAAAATAAAGAAATCTGTCGATAAATCACATTTAAATACAGCGGAGCTATTGGAAACACTAATATGGCTTATCACAATTATTGTTGATCCTATGCAATACTTTTTCCAGCATGGCCTATTTTCTGTTTGCTGCTACAAGTACCATTACGCTAGGGAGATTTCTAAAACTGAGGATTAGATCTAGTAAAATTTATACATGCAAAAGTTCTGTTCTATTAGCTCCTTTCTCTGCATGTAGGAAGTACTTCTTGGTTTTCTTGCTGAGTGCAATTTAATATATTCAAGATTTTTAAAAAATACCTAGAGTACTTTATAAATAGGAGTTGGGGACACGACAAAAATCCATGTTCATGGGGCCGGCTGTAGCAGAAATCAGCACCCACTGCAAAGAAATCTCTTCTGGAATTAAGATGATGTTCTGGACCTGCACTCAGCTGCCATTTTGAGTTCTCCCTGTCCTCACCCAGGAGGCAGGCTGGTGTCATTTTCCTGTCATCCAGCACAATGGTGAGGGCAGTTTTCCACTGAGCTCCCAAGACAGACTTGACTGGGGTGTTAAACCAGAGAAATGAGCGCTGATATTTTGTGCCATTGTCATTTTTGAAGTAAACACCAAAATGTCTGGATGCTGAAGCTACTGGGGGACATCTGTGTGCTGCCTTCAGCCTGCCTGACCAGCCTGAACTACATGCCTCCGTGCTCTTGGGTGGTTCAGTGGCTCCTCTCCAGTAAATGCACCTGTGCCCAGGGGAAATGAGACAGCAAGCAGGAATTCATCAGGAGGGGAGGAACTGGAAGGCCTTATTTGAAGGGGTTTCTACACCACAGCATTAACCTTTTCTATTAGTACAGGCACATGCTAGAGCTCTTGAGGCACGGGCAACCAGCCACACCAGGCAGCTGGTGTCCAGCAATGCCTTACCTGCTCATATACTCACCTGGAAGTTGCACTAAAGGTTGTGTTAAGCCCATTTTTGGCATGTTAATCATGTCAAGAAATAATGATCAAATACTAAATCAGCTCATACAAAACCTCAAGTTTATTGCTTTGTCCCTACTGTAAAGTGATTTAGCAGGCTTTTCAAGTAGGAGAAAAATAAACCAGCAAAGTCAATAAGCTCCTTTGTACATACAAGACATGCATTCACTGCAACATTTGTTGCTTAAGTACATATTTGGTCTCTGAGTATATACACAGGTAAGTATTTAAGTATATATAAGTCATTTACTCAGGTGACGAAAAATGACTATACAAACATAGGTTTAATTCAAGAGTACTGGGCAGGATATTACTGATTAATTTTATATGTGAAAGTATGTTGAGAAGGAAGTATTTTGAGTCATTTTCCTATGGCTTTGATTCCAGATTTCAGTGCGGTTAGTCCTTCCACAACAGCATGGTTGGGGTCTCAGTAACAAATGATTGAAACATCCACCAACGTGAGCAAGAACCCTTATGTTTGTATATTATACAGGAGAAGCAGCTTGCAAGCTGAATTCAACATTAGTGGTCTCACTGGCAGCATGTACATTTGGGGACAAATGTTAAGCCTAGGCTGCATTTAGATGTCATACAAACCCCAGAAATCTTGCGTAGTTGTAAGCAAACTGTTTGTAGGTCACTGTGTAAGAAAGACCATGGCCAGGAAAAGCACCAATTTGGGGCTTCGGTACCTGCTTTTGATGCAACACTTGAGATGTGTCAGTACATTACACTGTAAAACAGAAAAGAAAAAAAATTGCAACGAAAAAAGAGCATGTCAGCTCCAGGTGATTTATGGCTTGATTCAGAGTGTCCTGGATTCAACAGCGAGAGTCCTGTTGTGTTTTCAGCGGGGTTTGGCTCAGGTGGGTGCGCTTTAAACTTACAAACCGCAGTCAGTGCAGCAGTGAGCTGGGGCAGATGGAAAGTGCCTGTCACAGCCGGGATGATTCAGGGAACAGATGGAATCTGCCGCCCTCCAGCTTTGTTTGGAGAAGAGAGCGGGAGGATACATAGCTAACATGGGGTGGGAGGCCGCCTGGGCTCTCCGAGGATGGCCGATGGCATAAAAGAAGATATTGAGGCAAGAACAAAACAGAGAGGAAGGGAGCGGTCCGAGGGGAAGGCTGGTGGAATGTGCGGAATTAGCACGGGGTGGAGCAAGAGACAGGGGAAAAATCAGAGGCACACATGGGGTTATGCAACTTGGCAGGCCTTGAACCTGCTACTGGCAGAGGAGGAATCCATAAAAAGCTCTGAGGAGGAGACGTGGCAAGGGGGATTGACAAGAAAGGTAACACTAATGGGATGGAGGCCAGGTGGTCTGTGCACAGTGGAATGGTGACTTAAAAAAAGAGAAAGAAAACATGAAAGAGAAAATGAGATAATAGTAGAAGAAGAGCTGCTGAATTATCTTGAAGAATTCTGGTTGCCTTGTGTGTTGTATTCATAGAGTCTCTTTTTCTGTAAATCCATGCAACAAAAGGATTTTCTGAGCTGCACTGTCTAGCTAGGATGCCCCGTGTCCTGAGCACCCTCATGTTCCATACAAGGTACAAAAGAGATGCAGGAAGTGTCTTCCCTTTAAAATCCAAATGGTGTAGGATCTGCTGAGTGTGTGTGTAGGCAACACATGGCAAAACCCTCCAAATAATGTGCAGGTAAGTTACTTTTCTTGGGAATTGCTCATCAATAAATACTCTGTGTACGTGCACATGTGCAACCGCAATACACACCGTCCATAATCTGTGAGCTAAACTAAGGAGGTGTTTGGAGGCCAAGTAAAGAGTTCAGGGTACGGCTTCAGGAAAAAAACCCCACAGTTTAAAAAGTCATTTTGTTTAATATTGGTGCTTCTGTCATGGTAAGTGCTTAATGGAAACCTGGACTGATCATCAGGAGGCTATTTCATAGTAATCAAAAGTAATGACACCTGCAAAAAAGCCCCATCAGCAGCTTCAGCCTAAGAGAATGAACTCTTGCCTGATACGAGCAGAAAATGGGAAGAGATCCAATTGTGCTGTGTTGAAACAAATTCTAATATAATTAAAAAATCGATTATATAGACTTTGAACTGAAATTTGATGACTCACCACTGTTTTGGTGATTACTACAAGCACTCTTAAGGAAGTTCCAACGTTTCTTGCAAGTAAAAGGCTAATACTTTCTAAATCCAAGGAGTATGCAGCCTGGCTTCTCCCTTCTCTGAAAGAAGCTCAAGGAAGAAAATCAGTAAGTGGATCACTTCATTCAAATAACATTGTGTAACCACCTATGGTAAGAATTTAGGGTGAGGCTTGAGAAACACTTTATCAAGATGGAAAATTATAAAGGGTGTGTGTCTTTCGTCACGTATTGTATTTTTTCATCTTGTCATGCTGATATAGTATTAACCAAGATGATCTTCTCAGACGTAGCCATAATTAACAAGACATTGGCCTGGATTCAAGTTAGGAGTGTTTGAGACCTTTAAGAACAGAACTGAGATCCAAATAGGTGGTAGATTACTCACTGCTGAATGAAGATCTTCAAGGATTTAATTAGAGTGTGAAAAAAAAAACCAAAACAGGTAGACTTTCATAGTGGGCAGAGGTAGAGGGGGAGGAGTGGTATTCTCTCTTTTCCTGGACTGTCACACACAGCAGGAAAGCTGAATTCATGAGAACCAACAGACAATATTGTCAAAACCCAGGTGCTAATGTTGTCTTGGCTAGACCACAACAATTATGATCCCTCTGTCAGCACCCTGTCTGGCTTTCCCACGGATCTGGGAATGAAAGAGATTTGAATATATTTACAAATAGCAATTTAGTCAAGCAAAAAAATGTAAGTATGTTTGAAAGGAACTCTAGGTTTTGGCATGTCTATTTGAGGAGATGATTAAACAACAGATGTTCCTGTCTCCTACAAAGGTTTATTGACCAATAACACTACCCCCTTAAATCACACTGTAAAAATGAGTGTCTGGTCTTTTAT